CCTTTTTGTGCTATTCTTGCTCAAGTGTTCTATAAGTGTCTTCTCCATTTTCCTCCTTAAAAATGCTCTGTTTTTCGAGTGCTTAGTATCTTTTACCACATCCTTTCCCTCCCCACCTCCAGGAGGGGGCTGGAAATGCTGACTGAGCCATAATTACATAATGATGACTACAACTGGTGGAAGAAACATCTCATACCAACACACACAGAAGATGTAAGGCTAACTGATTATTAACAGAAGTGGCCAATTGAGAAAATGAAATCTCACACTGTCCTTTCTAACTACACAGCAAAGTTTGTTAAAGAGAAGTTCAATAACAAGCCAAAATATTGTTCCATAGCTATAAATTCCTGTTAAAATTACTCAGTTCACTCAAGTTACTATAGCTTTACAACTTTAAGAGTGACTTCCAACAGTATTACAGGCTATATCAACATTTATGATCACAAAGGAGGACTTCAAATTTAATCTGCATGAAGGTTGTTTTATTCATAAGGACAGTGTGTCTGAAAAGAGTTAGGTTTTTAAACAGTATTTAAAGACTCAAAGCAAAACAATTATATTTCTCATTTTCATGAACTATATTTTCACGTAGATATAGATCTAATTATTTTTCTACTACCCACTTGTTTTTATCAACATCAGCAAGATGCTATTTAAAATGAACTCCATGGACTGAACTGTTGTAACAAGTTACTTTGAGATGAATAACAAAGCAACGCAACTCTAAATTGAAGTCCACCACCATGCTAGTATGTTGTCAACAGCATGAATCCACAATGGTCAAAGCACTTCTTAGATTGAGCGCAATCTTATTTACTGGTAGAAAGCAAGGATTCCAGTTTTCAGATCCTTCCATCAGAAGGCCTCTGCAGGAAGATGAATGACACATCAAGAAAGCTGTAAACTACCTCTGCCTTCTTCCACTCCCCATGGCTACTAGTGGCTTAGGACTGATCCTAACTCCACTCACTAGTAAGAGTTCCAAGAGAACTGTCAATTAATCAGCACTGATCAGTCAAACTTAATGCAAGAAATGAAACCAGGTTAGAGTAGTATGAGGTTTGTCTCATACTGCCATCTGGTGAATAAAGCAAGCTACTTCTCTATGAAACTGTTTTCCTGTTCATTCTTCTTCTCACTGCATGTCATCACAAGATTACATTTGATTACATTTCCTCAGCTGGAAAGAAAATGTTGTGAGGGTCTACATAATTAAAGCTGATGAGGTGCATCAGCTAGCACAACCGCCGTGCTGATGGAATGACCACATGCTTTCTGCTGCTCTTTCTGCGGAGCCCGTTTACTAATCTAAATCAAGCACAAGATAAGCCAGTATAATTAAACAGACAAATGTAAGTTAACAGTGAAATGGCAATCAACCAATGATGGTAATTAAATATTCTTCAGCATATTCTTTAATTCAGTCGTTTTGCAACAGACAAGCTGAGTAAGCTATTGAAGAGAAAGTTTTTCTTCTTACTTACACCCTTCTCTGTTGCACGAATATCTGTATTTCCACAAAGTGTTCCAAGACCAATTACTTTGCCACCATTTGTTCGTATATCAATTTTATGGCTCTGAAAAAAAAGTTTAAAAATCATATTGTTAGGATAATCATAATTAGAAAACAAGTTATCTTATTTTTCAAGTTGTACCACAATAACCACCTTGGATCACAAACTTCCATTTTAGTGTGAAGGTTTCTTCTCAAGTGATTGCTAAATGTGCTGGTTATTTCCAGTGGAGTCAAACTCAAAACAAATCACCTTTCTTCGTAACTAGAAACCCAATGGAAAGAATGATGCTGAGGAATCCTTTATTCTCAGTACAGGTGAGTACTTTGTTTTGGTTTTTTTTCTTAACTAGAAAAACATTCACTCAGTATATCTTAAAATAAGCATCAGAGGAAGAAAAAGGGAACTTTGTTTCATTTATACTCCATCCAGAAACTAAGGTATGCCTCTACCCAGTGCTACAGCAGATGGGAAACATGAGCTGGCAGTGACAAATGAACTTGCAAATTGGAGCCTTCCAGTGACCTGGAACCTTTCGTGTCACAGAAGTCTGTAGGATAATCACATATATATGAAAACGCACCACAGAGCTACTTATGCTTGGAGTAGTATGTATAACCACAAAATTCTATGTATGCACACTAGCGAAAACCGTAGGCCTGCAAGTAGAATCAGATCCTACAGTGTTTTGCTCTAACCAGATGCTAACTCAAATTAGGTATTTTGCATATATCTGCACTGAATCTCAAGGTTTTTATGAAGAAACCAGGTTTCAAGTAAAAAATGCTATAGCCCGTATACCTTCCAGCTGCTGCTGCATACAATTGACGAGAAAAAAAAAAGTACAGAAATATAAAAAAACAATTCTCAGAGAAGACAAAAAAGTACCTTAGGTCTTCATTTGTAAGAAGGGAGAAGGGAAAAAAAAAAATCAGATTTAAATACTCCAACTGTATTCATAAATTGTAACGTAAACAAATCTGACTTTAAGAAGTCTACAGATCTCAACAGCAAAGCTCTTTTGCTTAAGTTCACTACCGTGAATGTTGGAATAAATGGAATAAAAAAAAAATCAGCATTTTTTATACTTAATGCCACTACCGTGAATGTTGGAATAAATAGAATAAAAAAAAAAATCAGCATTTTTTATACTTAATGCTGGATAAGCTTACACACACACATAGTCTTCATTCTCCCATACCACTGCCTCCATTTTCAGATATATTTGTTTCTGTTGAAAAGGGTATTATTCTTGTAAATGGTATTTAATTTAGTACACCATCCATTAAATGTGACAATCAAGCATATCAAGTATTCAAGATGTTTAGATGATTAAACATCTGTCTGGATAAGCCATAATCAACTGCGTTAACTAGGTCTAATTGAATGGCAACAAGATCAAGGACTTAAAAAAAAAAAATATATATATGAAATCAAGTTTCCAATATCGAAAACATTAAGTTACTCTTCTTTGACACATTTCTGATGTGTCCTGAAGTTTCATGGGGTTTCTAAGACAGGAAGAATTCTAAACCAGTTACTCTTAATCTTTGTGTTCCCAAGTCTTGCTGTCTTCTCTTCATTTAAGAGGCTTCCCCACAGTAAAACACAACATCCCTGACTTGAGACTACAGTAGTGCTCCAGACCTTGTAAAGGTTGTAAATAACTCAGCTGTTCAGCTAAGCTTCTATATAAATATAACAGATTATTGTCTTCATATACAGTAAACAGGATAAAGTTAAATTAGATGCTTCAGCCAGATGTCACAGATCCTTTGAGGCAGTTACATTAGGCACATTATCAGAATAATGGTTAAAGAACAAATCCTCCAAGCATGTAACTTGAGGAAAACATGGGAACTCGTAAGATTAGAAGAATTAATGTACAGCAATGACCTACCAGTATGACCACTGATAGTTGAGTAAAATAAAACCACAACATACACGCTTACTTCCTCAATTTTTATTTTTCACTCTATCATTTTTGGGATAGAAAAAGCTTTGATAAGACACAGGTCCCTCAACTTTTTTCCCCCAGAATTATTAGACTATCCCTATCCTTTTAAAAAAACCCACAGTCTTTCAGAGGTAGATAACAATAATATATCAATGTATTAATATTAATATCAATAGAGACACCTAACAGGCAGTGAGATTTGCTGAGAGAGGAAGCAAGTTATAATGATCAACTAGCTTTTTCATTAAGAGGGAATATTCCACTAGCTGAAAGTAAGAAGCACTAATTTGTCATAAGGCTTCTCCTAGCAAGGGAGAGAGATTTGAGGAAGGAGTAAAAGGCTGTCAAGGCCACGACAGATGTTAAAACAGAAAAATTTGTTCAATTCAAGGAAAAGAGGGACAGTGTGCAGGACTTTAACAAATAAGTCTCAGACATGATGTGTGGTGAGGAAGCATGGCAGGTCTTCCACTGATCGTGCAGAGACATCTGGAAATTCTTGTTATCACTGGCACAGTCAAAGAGTTGGAAATAATTGTTGAATATAGAAACAAAATTAAAGGGCCTCCTTGGTCCCACTGTCACTACTAAACTGATGGACTCTTAAGAAGCAGAAGAAAAAATTAAAAAGAAACAGCACTTCTTTCTCGATAAAGAATTTGGGAATAATTTATACTCTAAAGAAGACCTAGAAGTCATAACTGTATTTTGAAATTACTATCAGTTGACTTAGACACTTGGAAGGGAGAGGGTGAAGTGGGTTTTAGCCAATTACAAAACAACAACTAAAAAAAAAATCTCAATGGAACAACCCTCACCAAATCTCACTGGCTGGATAATGCCTACCACACCAAAAGTACCAGTCAAAATGCATAAAACAACCTCATACAGACTGCTCATCTTTCCTGTTCAGTTACTGGCATGCATGATTAAGGAAAAACAGATGTCAAATTTCTGTCTTCTGTAAAGACATCATACAGTCTACCAAAAATCAGCAAGTTTTTCAAATGACAAGTTATACAGACAACTTCTCGCAGCCTGTGGTAAGTTAAGAGAACTGGCAGTCGTGAAGCAGTTTGCTGGTGCTCTTGAATAATCCTCACACGAACAGATTTTTTTGTTTATTTAAAGTCCTTGATCAACAATCTTTTCCTCTCTATTGTAAAGGAAGGGTCTTCTCTTTTGCTAGTCAGTGAGGTTTGGGGACAGCGCGACAGCGAAGGAACATTTCGGTGAACACAGAATAACACGAAGTGAAGCTCTAACGCACCCAGGGGAGGGCAGCATCGCTTCAGTTTGCCCAGTAAAGCACAGTCCCTAAAGGGGACTCGGCTCATGCGCTGCACTACACAATCTCGTCTGTAACATTTTCAGCAGCTATGAAAAAACCCAAGAGGTTAATAATTCTGTTCCTCACTAATAATTCTGCTTCTCTGCTAATACAGAGCATAATTCCTGAATCTAGAAAAACTGAGTTACAGTTGCCTTACTAGAACTACAGTACTTCTCAAAAACAAGATTAGACTAAAAACTGATTGTACAGCTAAAAGATACTGTAATTGAGCAATTGTTTGCTCTTGAACACCTACCTGGTTGGTAATTTTAATTCAAAACCTTCACCACACTACTTCAGAGTCAACAAAACCTAGAGTGGCAACGTATCTTCTCTAGTACTGTATGTTGAAGCCATCACAGCAACCAGAATGACAATCAATCACCACTCGCAACCCAAAAGAATACTTTGGGTAACTATTTTGGTTAAAAAAACACCAAAGCCTTATAATCTACTAAAGCTTTGTTTTAATAAGAGTTTCAGTTGAAATATGCAGTTCTTTCTTGATTCTTTAAATTCTAAATGCATTCTGGAACAAGGCCATTCTTCTCATCTGAGGCTTAAGGGAGTAAAGAAGCTTCCTGTGGCCACCAACATAGTGGACACATTGAGGCACATGCACAGGGAAAGGATCATCTTTTACATTTGCAGTTTTCTCAACATTTTTGTGAATCAAGCAAGGCTCAAAGCTGACAGAGGAAAAAAGCAGCACCAAGGTCCTCTAAACTATAATGAGGCCATGGAGGAGTTGGTCCCAGAAACCCCAAACTGGTGACTTTGCAGCCTTCTTTTCAGTTCTTTAAGGAGTATTGTTTAATTGCTACTCGAAGTCTCAAAGAAAATAGAATTTTAAAATTCGACATTCTTCACATCTCAGATTGTACATGAGAAAAGATGCCGATGAAATTAGTTAGTATTCTTTTCTCAGAATCCTTTCTCTGTGACATCATAAAAAATTCTTGACAACTGTGATGGCATGCTGTGATTACTATCACTATTGCTGGTCAAAACTACCTTGTTTTCTCATATTATGTAGTTTCTCACTTACTGTTGTTTGCTGTTGTTATATAAGAGTCATTTTTAACCAAAGCTTTAGACAGCAGTAACACGTATAAGTGCTGTTAACTAAAATCTAACAAAAACCTACCTTTTAAAGAGTAATATGATCAATTACACAGAATTTGGAAGATACAAGTTGTCTTTAGTTCACTGAATATGGAGCAAACCTAGCTTTACTGCATATTAAATTTCCCCCCTTAAGCTCAGTTTCCTATACATACGCCATAAAATCACCTCTTAACATGGTAAAGAAAAACCTTGAGAGATTTTTCATATCCCAAAAATAGTTCAACTTAGAAATTACCCTATTTGAAAAGCCTTTGTTCTGAATTAATACCAATTCCTGGAGACACAATCCCAAATTTTCAAGTGAATTCCAAATAGCACCTATGTTAGATACAGGAAAGCTGGAGAGGGACTTTTTACAAGGGTGTGTAGTGACAGGACAAGGGGCAACGGATTTAAACTGAAAGAGGGGAGATTTAGGTTAGATATAAGGAAGAAATTTTTTACAATGAGGGTGGTGAGGTACTGGAACAGGTTGCCCACAGAAGTTGTGGATGCCCCATCCCTGGAAGTGTTTAAGGCCAAGTTGGATGAGGCAACCTGGTATAGTGGAGGATTTCCCTGCCCATGGCAAGGGAATTGGAACTAGATGATCTTTGAGGTCCCTTCCAACCCTAATCATTCTATGATTCTATAAACTTTGATTATTTCTACAAAAGCCTATGTCAACAAACCTGAAATCTTATGATTGAAAAAACAAGGTGATGACCATGATATACACAGTATTTATCAGATATATTTCAGTCAGGTATTTTGGACATGTAATATATAACTTCTGATTGAAAATGAACCTAAAGAGTTTGTCAATAGCATCGATATATCAGAAATATAAAAAGCCTACAGGAAAAAAAAAAAAAAGCAGCATGCTGCAAAGTCCCAACCGAGCAAGCATAACTATTAGCCTACTAGACAGGAAATCCCAGTCTGTCTTTTTTTTCTCCCTGAGGGGCAGGGAGAGCAGATATCAGGCTCATTGCTGTCACTTTTTCTGCTGTCTTTGGCTATCAAAGGTACCTGGACTTCTGACTCTACATTATTTAGTATTATTGACTTTGTGTTGTAACTGCATGCAATAAATAAAGGTGAGGTGCTACACAAACAGTAACACTCAAATATCTGAGTACTTCTCATCTCCAGAACTGATATTTAAGTTTTTATACTACATTCCACCACACAAGCCCTTTTAAAACACTGATGGAGTGAGGGAGGGTTCTTTGTACCTTTATTGACTGCAAGACACTAGTCCCCTTCTCCGTTTCTATTTTGCAGTTATCACATTCTATTTTCTGAATCTTCACGCAGCCAGTCCCTGATGTTTTGATATCCAAATCTAGAATTAAAAGAGTTTTATTAGCAACAGAATGAGAAGAGTCAGACCTATGTAACGTAGTACTTGATCACTTTATTTAGTGACTACATGTAGTAGGGGGGAAAAAAGCAGCTGCTTTGTTACTAAAGAACCTTCTTGCAAAGTTTGGCCATGTACTTTCAACTGCATGACTAGTCACTATCGACAATTGAAACCGAAACTTTTGTAAGCCCATGTATGGCCATCCAGCTTCTAGAGAGAACATTAAGAGGAAGCAGAGTGACTGTAGCCTCTGGCAAGGAATCAGCAGGGTGTGGTCCTTTAGTGACGTTTTATCCTTTTTTTTTTTTTAACCCACTCCCAAACATCCCCGTCTCATAGCCACCCTAGTCACCAATTCTGTTAGCAATTGTACCAAGACATTTGGGAACCCTGACATGGGTTTTGGGGTTGGCAGGTTGGTTGAGGCCACATGTAGAGTAATGAGATTCAACAGCATAAATACATAGGTCTTGCTTAGCCCTGTGCTGCTTCAATTAGCCAGTAACATAACACAAATACAGGGATAGAAGAGTTTGGATGCGTCACTCTTCCCTAGCCGCCCAGGAGGCCTGACTTACCCCCCCGACCCGGCATGAAGAAGCATGTTTGCCTCTAGTCTGAATCACCTCACCTTATTACTGTTGGTAGGCTCCCGCAAAGAAGAGTCCCTAGGTCTTTGTCCCTAACTCTGTTATCAAGGGACAAATTTATGGCCTCATAGTGCTTCATGCAAGAGCAGCAAAACCATTTTTCAGCCACTTGAGCTCACCCCTGAGTTTAAGGAACCGGTAAGAAGTTTGAGAATGTGCAGTTTGGAGATTCAGACTATATTAATGATTATTTATATTAATGACCACCATAATGACTGGCAAAACATAAAGGCAGGAGAAGAAAAAAGTGGTTTTGTTCTTCTAAGGTTAAAAAGGTGGAAAAAAAGAAAAAGTGAACGGGAGTTAGAAGTGTTTGCTGCAAGAGACATAACTGAAGGAATAAGAGACAGCGAGCCTATTACTCTCTCAAGAAAATGAGATTATCTGGGAAAGAAACTTTCCTTTAAACACCTGTGAAAGCTTTTCTTTCACCTCTACTATCTGCTGAGGTGATCAGAAATACGCGAAGAAGAATCAGAGTACGTATAACAAGCTCTGCCCCGGTGAGATTCCCCGGGCCAGACCTGTGACACAGCAGAGGCTGAAGATCAATACTGTCACGTTGCTGCACAGGACAGATGCTGGAACCATGGCAACAGCAGCTTGCAGACCATGAAGACAAGAGACTGAGAGCTCCAATTAACAACGAAGGGAAGTCTTAGTCTTGCCACCTGACAAAGCAGGAGAATCAAAGAAGCAGAGCTAAAACGTGTTACATCTTTGCTTCACGAATGCTACTTTATTGCCACACTAAGCTAAGAGGTTAAATTTAGTGCAGGATGCAGACTGTGTTCAAAGGTAACAATTCCTTAAGAAAGAGGGCTAGAAGAAGTGGACTAGATAAGCAGGTTTTTCAGAAAGCTGTTTTATTTGCAGGTATTATTTGCTTAGCCTTTTCACAGAAGACTTCCAAGAAAGAGATACTGTAACCAAGACTTAAATCAAACTATAAGTTTCTTAAATCTAAGTAAACTCTAAGATAGGCTTTAAGGCATGTAAAAGCACAAAACCTGGCAAACTGAACTGGTGACTATCACCAGAGGCTTGAGAGCCAGCATCACGAGGTTTTATGTTGTTAAAGCCTAGAAAGTTTCACCAGACTAAAAATATCTAAGTGGCATCTGAGCCATTTCAGTTTGATCGATGCTGATCTACGTGTTCTGAAATCAAGGCAACTTTTCCACAAGGTTTTACTTCTCAGAGAGCAGTTGGGTTGTTTAAACACAGTTCCCAGAGAGACACAAATAGAGACGCTCTCCGAACATTTGAGCTTGAAACAGTATGTCCTTGCATAGCACAAACCTGGAGAGATCAAAATCAAAGCAATATTATTTTTGAAATACAAGCTATCTTACTCAAAACTGCTCAATCCACTCACTGAAAAACTGCGCAGTCCTTGGGAGGATCTACCTCCAAGACTTCTTCTATTTTGCTTTCTGAGAAGAGAGAGGTCCAAAAGCCAGTTTGCTTGTGCCAATCTTTGAGTTCAATCAGATTGATACCCTCTTGGCTCTGTCAAAAGGGGTGATGAAAAGGCTTAAGAGCCGTCAGTTTAGCCATGATATCAACTTAATAAGACTTTTACAAGAGTAAGGTTAATAAAAACTTCTGATCCTGCAGGGCATACTATGGCCATCATTTGAAAGGTAGTAGTGTAATCCTTGCTCTGTCAAAGCTGAGTGCCAGAAGAGGACACAGAAATCTGGGGAATCATGAGCACGCTGTTAAGAAACATCAGAGATTCCTGGAAACATACTTCGTGCCTTGATCCTCTGCAGTCACAGCGCTTTGCTACTTTTGATATAGCAAAAATTAGTGGACAAAGAATGGAGCCCCTCTGTCTCACAAACAGGCTTCCTGAAGCAAGGGTAGATGACTCCACGAAGGGGCAGGCTAAAAGCTAGATAATATTGCTAACAAAATTTCAACAAGCAAGGAGGAACCAAATACAATCTGTTTTGGTGCCAAAGCTCCAAAAGTAGCTAGTTTGATTCTTCCTCAGAGATGAGAGCTGAAGCCAACTTGAGCCACACAAACCTCAAAGAATGCATGAAAATCTTTGAGATGCAAAAGGACTTGTATTGGAAATAAAGGTACCTAGGGAGAAAAAGAACTTTGGTATCAGAACGTAGGCAGCGGTACCCCAGAAATACTACCTTAAGCTATAATACTGGAAATAGACTAGAAAATGACTTATTTTAAAGCGACTCAGTAGCTCTGGACTACTATTAGAAGTACTTAATGATGATCCACTTCTCTGCTCATAGAGGAAGCTTATCAGTAAGTGAGCATGCATGTAAAAATAATTCAGTCCAGGAAAAACTATTTACTGAGGGCATCAGATTATAGCATTTGCTACTTTGAAGCTATAAGCCTGCCATACTTGGGAGTAGACAGTGATGATTCCAACTCATTAATATGCTAAGACTTCAGAAAAACACATTGTTAAAAACATTCACATTTGCTTTCCACTAATGTTTGTGAAAAACAAAAACCAGAAACAAGCAGTCCCAGGAGCTTAGGTTCTCCCCTCATATAAGCAGGCAGAAAAATTGCTTAAGTGATTCCATAAAATTACGATTTTGGTAATTCACAGAAACATTGAAGACCCATATATTCATTCAGTTTGCTTAGTTAGTTCCACAAGAATCTACAGTATTTGGCCAAAAAGCTAAGTGATCTCATGGACTTAATTAAGACTAATGTGGTAGAGTTAAGTTTTCCCAAGGAGAGAACCGATAATAAAAAAGAAACAAATAAAAAAATATCAAAACACCCATACTGGCTTACAAGTGGGCCTAGACCAGGAGTGCTTGATCCTGTGCCAAAGGGGACAGGCTTTGATACTATACTCCATGAAGCTTGGACACCACTTCAACACTCGTGGTTCTCCTCCTTGACTTTGGCATAGAAGACACTGTTCTCTTCACCAGAGTATACTATGGAAAAAGCATTGGAATAGTTTGGCAATGGAGGTCGTGTAGTCTTCATTCTTGGATGTTTCTAAAACGAGACTGGATAAAGCCCTGAGAATCCTCCTTGGATTTGACCTTGCTTTGAGCAGAAGGATGAACTAGAAACCTTTGAGGTCTCATCCAACCGAAATTATCCTATGATTCTAATATAATATGTACATACTAAAGCAAAGCCTAAGAACCCCACTGCCTCCCTGGAAGGCAAGTTTTGGAGTTGCAGCAATCCCAGGTCTCACTGCAGAGCAATGGCAGTGGCAGTTCCACCTGGTATAACTTTGGGGTAAACTCTGCCTTTTTCTGACTAGAAAACATGGGAACATCCATGTAGAGGTGCGTGCAGTGAACTTGGACAGGCAGCTACCAATGCAGAGGAGGAAGATAGATTTGGGAGTTTGCCACCTGGCCCCTTTACACACCATGGAGGTACATGCAGGAGACCCTGAGCAAGAACATTTGCTGGGGACCTCCTGATTTCTCTTTTAGGGCATTTCACCAGAGAAGGACTGGCAGTGGTTTTAGGGAAGCCTTGCCCGTGGAGGTGTACCGAAACCACTGGGGCTTTACATCTCTCCTCCAGCCACCTCCTCCCTCCTGTCCAGGTGTTCCCTGTTGCTCCACGCTGGAGGCAGCAGCGTGGGCCGGTGCACAGACTGGCACAGGTGCTGGGTGTGCCCTGGGGTGACAGTGGGGCGAGGAGATCCATGTGGGACCCGCACTGTTACTACCACCGGGTCCTGAGAAAACTGGGTGGCTCTCCCTGCTCTCCATGGCCACAGGGAGAGCCATAGCCACAGTTTTGTGTGGCACCTCACTGCAGGACATGTCTTTAGCTCATGCTAGGCAGCTGAGTGGCACCAAAATTAGCAGGCAAAGCTAGAAAGGAGCAATAACTGGAATATCAGAGTTGAAAGTGCCAGACTGGATCTGTCTGCTGAAGAAAACCATGTGCTGATAGAAACAGTGCAGCAAACAACAGATCATTTGAGGCAAAGCCATCCAGCCGCCATATCCCACAGATCTGGATGTACTTCAGCTGTGTTACTCCACAACCAAGCCTGACTTGTGGCAGAGTTGTTTTTGCTGTGCCGACCTGGTGCCGATCAATGGTTCCCAGACTCATGCTGGTGGCTGTGTAGGGCA